CACTTGTCCCCTAACCTGTACTTATGACAGCTATTCCTATGCCCCAAGTGCAAGACCTTGCACTTATCCACATTGAACGCCATCCTGTTGTCTCCTGCCCACTTCCATAGTCTGTCCAGATCCTCAGTTGTGGCCACTGCCCCCGTTTCAGCATCGTTTGCAAATTTGATAAGCAGACTGTTCACCTCTTCTTCCATGTCGTGGATGAAAAGATTAAACAGGTTCGGCTCCAGGATAGAGCCCTGGGGGACCCCGCTTGTCACTGGCCACCATCCCGATGATTCCCCACTAATGGTTACCCTCTGCTTTTGGTCAGTCAACCATGCCCTAATCCATTGGACAGTGCTTTGGGCTATCTCTAAACTCCTCAATTTCTCAACCAGGATATCATAGGGCACTTTGTCAAAGGCCTTGCTGAAATCCAGGTAAACCACATCCACTGCACCCCTCCATCTAGCCACCTTGAAACCTTGCCATAGAATTCCACTAGGTTCATCTGCTTCGAAGGACAGGTTACTGCAGAAGCTGTGATGTGTGGCCGCCAACCTCCCTTCCCTATCTAGCATCACTAGATCTCTCACTATTATGAGCCTTTCCATTGTTTTTCCTACAATGGACGTAAGGCTAATTGGTCTGTAATTCCCCATGTCCCTTCTGCTACCCTTTTTGAAAATGGGACCACTGATGCCACCAATCCTCTGGAACTTCACCCGTTCTCCACGAGGTCTGAACAATGGAGGCCAGTGGGCCTGAGAGGAACCCCTGCCAACTCTCGAAGTACTCTTGGGTGTAACCCATCAGGGCCTGGCACCTTTGTAACATCCAGTGGCCTGAGGAGCCCCTCGACTTCTATGGGGGTGCTCCCAAGTCCCCGGTCTCATCTAAACTCCCATGCAGATCTTCCCTGTCCTGCTTTGGGGAGAACACAGAGGCAAAATAGTCATTTAGCATCTGTGCCCGTTCCTCACATCAGTCACTGGATCCCCTTCCTCATTATTAAGTGGCCCCACTACCTGTCTCCCCTTCCTCTTGCTATTTACATGCTGATAGAAGCCCTTTTTGTTGCTCTTGATATTCTTTGCAAGTCCCAGTTCATGATCAGTCTTAGCCTTGTGAAGAATCCTTCTGCAATGGGCCTCTTCTTCCTGGTATACCCTTTTTTCTATTTGCCTCAGTGCCCATTTCTTACAGAGGTTCCTCTTGAGTCTAATCCCTCTTACCACCTCCTTTCACATCCAAGGCATCACTCTCCTCTGCCTCCCCACCTTACTAACTAGAGGTATCATCAAGGCTTGTGCTCCTAAAAACTTCCTTTTGAGTACCATCCACCGCCGCTCAACTCCCTTGCCTTCCAGTAACCTATCCCTGGAGACTTGCCCCAGTTTGGCCTTCAATTGACCAAAGTTGGCCCTCTTGAAGTCCCAGCTTCTAATGCTCGACCTGCTGCATGTCCCCAGTCCCCTGATCTCAAAGCGAAGGATGGAGTGATCACTCGCATCCAGTGCTCCCCTAATCTGTACCCCATCTATCAGCTCCTCCCTGTTGGTCAAGACCAAGTCAAGGATGCCCCCCCTCGTCAACTCTCAGACCTTCTGTGTGAAAAACCCTCTCTCTATAGCATCTAGGAAGTGACATGACCTGACTGTCATTGCTGAGTGAGTCTCCCAACTAATATCCAGGAGACTGAAATCTCCCATAATTACGGTGTCCCTCCCCCGAGATATCCTTAGAATCTGATCTGTCAGGACATTGTCCAGGGTCTCAAACTGACTTGCAGAGTGATAACACACCCCCACTGTAAGGTCCCTCTCCCTGTCAAAACTCCTTAGTTTCACCCAGACTGCCTCTATCAGATCCCCATCTGCGCTGCATTCTATCTCACTGCATCCTATCCCTTCCCTGGCATATAAAGCTATGCCCCCACCTCTCTTTCCCTTCCTGTCCTTTCTAAACAGGTGATACCCCTCTAAGTTTACATTCCAGTCTTGCCTTTCATCCCACCAAGTTTTCCTGATCCCCACCAGGTCGTACCCTCCTATCCCCTGGAGAGCTTCAAGACATGCCTCCATGTCTCCCCAGCTGTTCCTCCCATGGCCCCTCCCTCAATCTTCTGTCTGGAGGGGGACTGCTCACAGGGGGACTGGAGAACTATCTCAGCCCTCAAGACACCTTATCTCCTCCTTTAGGGGGGTCACCAGCTTGCACTGAGGGCAAGTGTATCCCTGCCTCTCCTGAGGGAGAAGGACGAACCTGCCACAGCTATCGCAGCGGACAGCGACACCTGTGATTCCTGCCAAGGCTATCTCCTGGCCTGACACTGGGAACCCCTCCGAGACCCTACCTTGTTCCCCCACCTTGTCTGTCCTGCACTACTCCTCACTCGCACAATTCTTCCAGACAAACCCCTCCCCGCCACACACAAGGACAAAATAAAAATGTAATTTTAATTAATAAACAAATAAAAAGAATAAAAAGAAAGAAAAAGGAAGGGAGTCCCCAGGTAGCCTGGGCCACAGACAAGGGATGCAGACAATGCCCTTGTCACATTGCCCTTAACGCGCCGCCTTGGCACCGCCAACAGCTGAGCATGGCCTCATAAGCCTCCCAGGCCGCTGGCCCTGCTGCTCTGCTTCCTCCTGGCCCCTCTGGCCTGGTCCCGCCTCCCTTCCTCTCTGCTGCTCCTGTCCACCCCCCCCCCCCCCCCCCCCTCCTCTCCCCCCCCCCCCCCGCCCCCCCCCCCCCCCCCCCCCCCCCCCGCTTACTCCTTTGCCCAGCTCCTACCTTGCCTTCACCAGTCCCCTGGCCATCCTCAGCCCACTCTCCCAGCCTCTGCCTCTGCTGCTCCGCTGCTCTGCCAAGAGGAAAGAGTCAAAAGCATGAATCATGGGTCTTTTTCATACCTACCACTGTCCCTGTCTAGTTCCTCAGGAGAGAAAGAGATTCTGAATCAACCAGCATGATAGCTCACTGGCAGATTTTTAAATTTCAGCTTGAGTAGAAAATGTAGATTTTGTTGCTATTGCCAAGGAACAGAGCAAAATCTTCTGAAAAGTCTCCAGGATTTCCCTATTATAGCAGGGACCAGTGCAGTAACTTCATACAGTGGGGGTGGGATAACTTTTAGGTATGGTATCTTTCACAGTCTGTTTTCTACAATTATAGATGGTTTTCTACAAGATACAGTATTCCAGATGAGATTTGACTTGTGAGGAGAATAGTGGAACTACTACTCCTCGTGATTTGGAAGTATTACTTCTATTAATGCATCCCAAAGTAGCATTTGCCCTTTTTGCAGCCAGATCACATTGTTGGATCATATTTAGCCAGTTGTCCACAATAACACTGAGATATTTTTCTTTTTCAGTTCTGCTGAGCCACATATTCCCAATCTTGTATCGATGCATTTGGTTTCTTTTTCCAAGGTGAAGGGCTTGACACTTGTCCCTGTTGAATTTCATTCTGTTGCTTTCAGCCCAGCATTCAAGTTTATCAAGAGTGCTCTGGATCTTCATTCTGTCTTCTAGGGTGTTTGCTACCCAATTTTGTATCATCTGCAAATTCTCTTTCCTTGTACTTCCTCATCTAAATCATTAATAAAGAGGCTGAAGAGCACTGGGCCCAGGACTGAGCCCTGTGGGACCCCACTAGTGACCTCCTTCCAGTTTGAGCAGGTGCCATTGGTGAGCACTCTTTGTGTCCGATTCAGCAGTCAGTTTTGCATCCCCCTAGTTTTTCCATATAGTCCACTTTTTGCTAATTTGCTTATCAGAACGTTGTGAGGCACTCTGTGGAAAGCTTGGCTAAAGTCTAGATAGATTACGTCCACAGTGTTCCGCCTGTCCATCTGGGAGGTTGCCCAGTCAAAAAATGAGATTAATCTGACAGGATTTGTTTTTGACAAGTCCATGTTAGCTTCTATTCAGCACTGCATTTTCTTCAAGATGCTTGCAGGCTGATTTTTACACCAGGAAAAAAAAAAAAATCTGATAAGCTGCATGGTGCCTTTTATTTGCTAGTGCTACCTTCAATCCATCTGGAAGTATCTGTGACTAATCCTATTGACTCTGACATTTTATCTATTCAGTTTTTAAAAAGACATACTTCATAGTAAGTGCATGTAGGACTGCAGTATTTCACTCTTTTCTTAGCAATTAGTTACACGTTAGTTGTGTCATCCTCCTAGCTCCCCCTCCGCCATACCCCCCTTCCAGGATTCGAGGCCGCCAGTGAAACCGTCTTGCCTGATGTTTGGATCAGACAAAAATGTACTTCTTCGGGTGCAATCCTATGCATATTTAGACAGAAAAAACTCCTACAAGTTCCAGCATGTCCCAGCAAATGGAGATGGTCAGGGCATGCTGCACTCGTCCGACAATTTCTGTCTAAACATGCACAGGACTGAACCCTCATGTGTTATTAATTCAGGGCTAACGATGGGGGGGAGGGGTGAATTAGCCTGATTAAGTCTATCAACAAATTTTAGCCCGAAGGGCTGAAACGAACCTCCTCGTTTAGTGGCAGTTTACCTCTGCATACGAACCGCAGGGGCAAACAAGCAGCCGCGGAAATGCATCACCTCCGCGTGCCCGCGACGAGGCTCGGCGGGGACCGAGCGGAGATCCGCCTTGCTCCTGCCCCGCCGCCCTCTCCCCTGTGGCGCACTGGCTGCTCGGAGGTTGGCTGGAGGGGAGGGGAGGGGAGGGGATGGCGAGGCTCCTCCAAAGGGGCAGGGATGTGGGGAGGGGGCATTTAACGCCGCGGGTTCCGGAGCAGGGTGGGGAAAAGGCTGGCGCTGGGGACGGGGTCAGCGGCGAGCGTGGCGCCACAGGCGTGCAGGCGGCGGCGCGGGGCGGACGGCGGGGCCAGAGGGGCAGATCTTGCGCCGGGCAGGGGCAAACGGGGGAGCTGCCCCGCTTCCCTGCCTTCCGCTGGCGTGTGCCCGGCCATGGGCTCGGCGGCTCCTCCGCTCGTGGGTCCGTGCAGCCCCGGGGCGGCTTAGGATGAACGCTCTGGAGGGGCAGCAGCCCCCCAGCGCGCACGACCTTCTCGACGTGGCGGCCGTCTACTGCGACAACCTGAGCCGCTTCCAGGCGCCTCCCGCGCAGAGAGCTGCAGCCGCCCCCGCTGGACTCGGCTTGGGGGAATCGGGAGGCGCGGGAAGCAGCCCCTACCTGTGGCTCAACAGCTCGGCCGTCCCGTCGAGCCCCTACCTGGCGGCCGGGCCCAACGGAGCGGCCGGGCCCTTCCTGCCCACGACGTACGGGGCCGGCGCCAGGCAGCTCTTGGTCGCCCCGTCGGCCGCCCCCGATCTCAGCTGGCTCTCGCTGGCCGCCGGGCAGCAGCAGGACTTCTTCAAGCTGGTGCGCCCGCCCTACTCGTACTCGGCGCTCATCGCCATGGCCATCCAGAGCGCGCCGGACAAGAAGCTCACCCTAAGCCAGATCTACCAGTACGTGGCCGGCAACTTCCCCTTCTACAAGAAAAGCAAAGCCGGCTGGCAGAATTCCATCCGCCACAACCTCTCCCTCAACGATTGCTTCAAGAAGGTGCCTCGGAGCGAGGATGATCCAGGTGCGGAAGCGGGGCGGCGGCGGGGGGTGGGGGCGGGGGTTCGGCTGGCTGGCTGGCTGGCTGGCTGGCGCCGATCCCTCGCAGCTCGCACCGGGAGACTCCAGACGGGACGAGGGGGCTGTCCTTCCTCCTGCTTGGTGCTTTGGGGCCGCTTTGAGTTTTCGGCCAAATCGGCTGGTAAGCAGCTTTCATTAATGTGCGACCTGCCTCCAATAGAAAAAGATCCCCCCACCGCAAGTTCAGTTGACATACAGGGAAAGATTTGAAAGCGGAGGGAGAAGAGAGGAAGGAAGTTTAATACTTCCCTCTCTGGCTACAGTCCTGCTTGAAAATCACCCTCGTGCACAGAAATTAAGTTAAGGACACAATCCTACACATACTTTAGCTGGAAAGGTAGTTTTCTCTGCCTGAATATGCATAGAACTGCACCCTAAGAAAAATCCTCCCACTGACACAACTATGGGACAGATCCAGGACTGGGAACAAGTGGTCTGGGCCTAGAAATGGTGCTGCCTCTAAGACTGAAAGCAGGATCTGTATTACATTTTTTTAAAATTTTGTACAGCACTTAGAAATAGCAGTTGCTTTAAAATGACAATAATCACCACACTTCTTGATCAGCATTTGTTGGTTACATTGTTTTAAGCATCCACACACAACCCCATTCTTGGACCTGTTGACAGGAACTTCTGCCTTGTGGGCTCTGATCATGGAAATAACTCTGTTGAAAGCAGGTCCTCTTTTCGAAATTGAGATGCACAGCTGTGGGCTTAACACATAACTGGCTTAGCATCCAGGGCAGGCACTACTCTGTTAAATTTCTCCATATAACAATGGCTACAAATAGAAACACACTTGGGATGCAATCCTATGCAAGTTGAAACAGGAAAAAGTCAAACTTCCAGCACTGACAGCTAGGGCATATTGGGAGGTATATGTTTTTCTATTTATTTTTTTTTTCTCTAAGGATTGTGCCCTTACTAATGAGAAAACCCCACTGAATACAGCAGGAACAATAATAAATACTTACATAAATAGGACTTAATCTGAAGTAAAGAAACACAGGGTTGTGCTGTTTAATTTGGCTCTGAGGAATAACTCAGGCCAGAAAATACACTGCTACAATCACGGAGGTAGCTTTTGGCTTGCTGGATGTTTCTTCACACTGTCGCATAGTGGAATGTCATAGTGGCACAAAGTGGAAGGTTCTTCCACTGTCTTCTAAGTCAATCCTTGTTGGCCTGCAGCTCTGCGGAAGTCAGCAGCCACATTCCAGCTGTGCTCTCAGCTTGTTTAGGATTGAAGTGAGAGCTAAGGGCCTGTCCTATAAACTTACTAGGTTACCTTATGCAACCATCCTGACTCAGCCCCAGTTCATTAATCATCTACAGTGATGATAATGTTGACTTACCTTGCAGAATATTTTCAGGACCATAACTGGATAATGCATATAAAGTATTATGAAAGCACTATACAAATATTATCAGTTGTGTTTTGTAATCACTGTAATTATTATTAGTAGTAGTATTAGTATTATTTCAGTAGAAAGCTGGTAGCATGAATGTAGCACATTGTGAGTTGATTCTTGGGTGCTTGGTCCTCTTAGCATCTTGCTTTGAAATGACTACCTGCTCTATTCTGTCGCAACATGTAGGATCATTTGAATGTGCTTATTGGAGATGACATGGACTGTTATCTTCATTCTAAATGCATTATGTTGCAGTAAGCCCCAGTTAAAATAAATGTGACTTACTTCCAGTGTCTGAGTTGGAATAAACATCAAGTATAAATGGCTACTATTTTAGCAGAATTATCTTAGGACACAGTCCTATGCATGTTTAGATAGAAGGGAGTCCCATCCCTTCTATCTAGCATTCCCATGCCAGCACCATATTTAATTCATAGAGTTTAGGAAATAAGCACATTTACCAAGAAACGTCCTATTGATTTCAACATGATTTGCTTCCATGCTTGGCTCCAATGCCAGACTGAAATTTCCAAATTTTAAATGTCCTGGAAGAATCACATTGAAAGCTAATTAAAGACTGAGGTCCTCTCTCTGCTGTAAACCTATACCTATTTATTCAACTCCAAGTGTTTGAGAATAGCTGACTGTTTAATAATAGCAGCTTTACACAACAGCACTAAATTATATTAGCTTGATCCAGACATTAATGTAGTGATACTTGACAGTGCTCCTTGTTACAGTCCTTATAGCCACACCCACAAAGAAAGTTAAAAATGCAGGCACTTGTGTAGATCCATATCAATAAGATCTAGTAGTTCCATCTCCATCAGAAGCAGAATTTTTGTGAAGGTGATGGGTCTCAAGTGTCTTTCAAAACCAAGCCAGCCTTTGCATTATAGCAAGGAATGGTAAATTGTTGTTGGGATGATCTATTTCTCCCCAGCAGCTGTGAGGATTACAGCACAAAGGGAACAGGAAAGTATGAAAGGGTGGGGATAGCAGCTCCCCTGCTAGAAGTGAGTTTTGCCTCTGTTATACCCCTGGTTACAAACCTAGTACCCTCAGGTTGATAGAGGGAGGGCAGGAGGACCTCTCTGCCCACAGGAAATGCAGCAGCATGTGTACCCTGGAGATATCTGGTACACCCACAGAAAGCCATTCCACAGGCATCTGTAGGCCCCAAATGGGGCATTTTGGGATGGGCTGTCAAGGACATGTAGAAGCTATCTGGATTCTGAGCTCCCTTGCTCTGCTGACAGACTGCAGAACTGGTCATTTTGATTTCTTTGCCATATAATGAAATGTGCATGTGTGCTCTGGGGGGAAAGGAATTAAGAAAAGAGACGGCCAAGACAGATGAGTGAATGAAAAGGAAAAGCCACCTCCCACCCGAGCTAAGTGAGCCATCAGTGCTTTCAAAGTTTGAATCATCCACTCTATGTGCCCCCACAATATAGGATTATTCAGTAAACTGCACTTTGTTCCCATTGATGCCAATGGGATTAACTTGTCTTATTGATTTCAGTGAGACCTAATTGAGTTAACTTAGACTAAATCCAGTACATAATGTGAAAAGACAAGAACCCATCCATCAAAATCAGTGTGTCTACATTGCTTGAGAGCTGTACATAAAAGTGGATTTATATCCATTTGGTGCTGTCCACTCACTTTACTGTCTCTCTCGGGACCCATTTCCCAAGGCTGTTCAGAAAATCTCATTTTCAACATTTTCTCTGCCTGCTAAATCCACATGTTCTTGGTTGATTCATAGGTAAAGGCAATTACTGGATGCTGGATCCAAATTGTGAGAAGATGTTTGACAATGGCAACTTCCGAAGGAAGAGAAAAAGGCGATCTGACCCAGCTAGTGGGCCTGGAGCCCCTCACAAAGTGGAGGACAAAAGCAACAGCGGCATTGTCCAACAAGCCTCAGAGTCTCTCAGCTTGGGCTCTGCTGAACTGCAGTGCTCTCCAAGTACTATGAATGACTGCAAACCCCGCAGCCTGAACTCTGGCCATTGTTTCTCCACTTTCATTTCCACCATGAATGCCATGGCTCATTGCCGAAATGGCTTTGCCAGGCAGCTTTCTGGTGGGCCAGGCTCTGAATTCATAGCTGGGAGGCAGAATGGGTCAAGTTTGAGTTCTTGCTCTGCTTCCAACAGCAACCCAAATAGAGGATTTGAACTTGGTTCTCCATCACACTCCAGGATGAATTACTATACAGGTGCTGGTGGACAGTCCAACTGGCTCAGCACTCCTGTCCTGAGCACCTTCAGCATGAACAATCTGATTTATAGCAGAGAAGAGACGGAAGTTTAATGTGGTGGCAAACTAGCCTTTGTTTGGGAAAAACAAAACCACCAGCAGCCTTTGAGTGCCTAGACATTTTGCCTTATGTCTCCATATGTTGGTAATTTTCAATTCTGGGACCAAACTTTAGCCCCAGTAAGATTCATTTTAAAACTGTTTTTTTTAACCTAATGTCAGATTTTCTTCTGCCTCCTCCTGTTATCCCCCCCTTCTCCCTTTCAGTTCTTTTTTCTGTTTTGTCTTTATCCCTTCCTCTTTTTTCTCATTCTCTCTCTCTCTTCAACACACACACCTGAACATAAATGTTGGAGGTACCATTGGTGAGAACAACTTAGACCAGGATGTAGCTCAAGTGCATATCCTGATGCAGTGACTGTGATACAAGCTAGAACTCAGACAGGCACAATCCACTGAGAAGTTCCACATTTAGTTCAACAGGTCTGCAAATGAAAACTTCCTTGTGGATCCTACCACCTATTTGTTAAATGGAAGGTGCTACCTTTTGCATTTTCCACCTCTCTTACCTCCTCCTACAGTTTACCCTGTAGGAGAATGTGTTTCTGTTCTTTCCAGCTTTACTGAAAATCAAATTAAGCCAGTAAATGAGGACGAAAACTCCTTCTAAGCAGGTGGAAAAATCCCTAACTCCCTGGCAACTAGTCATTAACAAGTTTGCTTGAAAGCAACTCCTTTTCAATTAGTTGTGCTAAGATTCATCCTGTGCAAAAATCCTATTAAGTTTACAGTCTCAATACTGTGCATCATGGCCTTAGCTCCTTGATTTTTAACTAATGCACTAATCTGCAACATAGGAATATTTTGGAATGTGTACATATTAGCTAATTGCATCTGGTAGAAGGAAATAGCTGTATTTTGGAAAAATAATGGACACTCCTTTTTTGTGTTTTTCATAGAAGTGTAGATTACTGCTGTGTTACTGACCTATGCAATGAACAAAATAAAATGCTGCCTCTTAATTTGTCTTAATTCTAACTCAACACCCGACTGTTGTGTTTTTTATTTCAAGGTATATTTTAATTCCCCCGTTCTCAGTTTATCAGGGCTAAAATTGAGCAGCGGTTATCCTGTTACTAGAACCCAAGCAGCATATTCAGTATGAAGATCATATTTTGGAATATGTGAACCAGAAGGAATGGACTAAGGCTCGTGGAGTACAGTTAGACTTCTGAGTGAACAAGCATTAGCTTTGGCTGGTGTTTTACTACTGAATAGCCACAATTCCTGTATATCTAGGATTTGGGGGGAAATATATTCAGTGGACATGGTTGGACTTCACATAGGCTTGAATTCTAGCACCACTGGTTTGAAACATTAGGCACTCACTAGAGATTAGTGCTTCTCAGTGGATAAGAATCTAAATTTAAAGGTTTGTATTCAAAGACTCCTTGCCAAAGCTCTTCTTCCTCCAGATAAACAATTGAGGAAATAGCTTGGAAGTATAAGAATTATGATCTTCACTCTGGCCCTCAAATTTCTTACAAGTAATTTCTATTGTGAACAATTGAATTTATTCATATATTTTAAGAAAGGGATCCCCTAGAAATGGATTGAATATTTAGATTGTTTTTATTTGTAAGCAGCAAAGTAAAAGAGCTATGCAGGTGCAAGCAAGTTTGGGCTTTGCATGCTTCTTTGTAGGGCAGAAAAATAAATATTTGAACAGGGGCTAGGGAAAGGTCGAGTTCTTCTGCAGAGAGAAGTTGGAACCGAGTCGGGAATAAGGATTTAACTACAGTCTGCAAATTTGCTCGCAACTCAGGGATGAAGGGATTCCAACCCTTCCAGTGCATGTTTCCTCAGAAATCGGTCCCACGGATTCCAGGGATATTTAGCACAGGCAAGGGCAGCACAGTTGGCTTGGAGCTTCGCTTCCTTGCGCACTTTCCTTGGAAGCGGGTTCTATTCACCGAAGTGCGACGTGCAAAGCTCAGTTACAACGTGCAAAGTTATTGAAACGTCTACGGAGAAGACAGTTGTATTTGTGGCCCCCCAAGTTTAAATACCTTGGATTGAATCCTGCTCCCTAACGCCCTAAACTTTTCCAAGGGTCTACGCTAAGCAGAACTCGCATTAGCTCAAACTGACGGAAAGGAGTTGATTTTTCACATTGACCCTTGAGCAGTGCAGTAGAGATATAAGAGCAGTGAGCTGACTTCGGAGGCAGGAGTTAAAATGCCGTGGCTCTCCAGTGGGGTTTTTCCTCCGAAAGCGTGCGCTAAGGATCCCAGACAGCCCCCAGTTCGCCGATGGAGCCTACCAGCTCCTCCCGGGCGCCGGAATTAGGGACTTCGGCGCGGCAATTGGGGACGGCCTGCCCGCTCGCAGCCCTTGTTGACAGCGCGGAAAATCTTCAGCCCTGTTTTCACACTATACTGCTAGGACAGGTTCGCGTGTTGAGCACCCAAATCCTCGCCGATCGGCAAGTTTGTAAATAAAAACTCTTTTCTCTGGGCAAACACAAAAGATCATCTTTGTGTCCGCCCAGGGAGCTGGACGATAATTTATATGAAGAATTTGGGATTTAATCGAGCGTCCAAAATTAATCCGGATCCCTGCTGAGGAGCCCTTTAATTACTCGTTTCCCGAATGCGAACCTCTTTTGTGAGAAAGGGGAAAAGACAGGCTGTGTGTGTGCGCGAGAGAGAAGGAGAGACATGCGGAGGAGGCGGAGGACAAGCCGCTTCCGTCCCAATGGCGAAAGTTGCGGGTAGCCTTGAAAAGTTTGTCTCGCCCTAAAGACTTTGCACATTAGGGGGGCGAGGAGAATAAAACAGCAAGCAGGAGCGACGCCCTTGGAGGACCTCGATCATCACAGCCCAGTGCCTTGGCAGATCCGCAGAAATTCAAAGGGCCGGTTTCCAAATCCCAAGCACGGTGGCAGCGCAATGCGCGGCCCGGCTCCTTCCATGGGACTCTCCATCGAGTATGCACAGGGTTCCCTTATTTCTTGGAAGTAGGTCCACTGAACGAAATTTACTTCGGAGTAAATGGGTATACTCATGGGTATCGTGCACTGTAAGTCCCCGAGATCCATCAAGCAGACTCCTTAACGAGTATGCCTAGAGAAAGGAAACCTAAATCGCTTTGGTACGACTGGCATCCAAAAAAGTATGCGGATATATTTACCAGGGCAGCCCAAGCTAAACGTCTCTGAGATCGTCCCACTTACTCCAATGGCGTTCTGCCGGATAAGAAAGCAAGCTGAGCAGCAATTTAGTTGGAGACACTGATGGGTGCCTTAAAACCAAGTGTACGTGCTGAGAATGGGGCCCGTAGTCCTCTTGGAAGGAGCAGTTGCAGGTCGTGCTAAAAAGCCGCCCTTAATAATACCTTTCAAGCGCTGGGGCAGTGAGGCTGGGGTTCCCGTCGATTTAAGGTCAACTGCTTCGACTTAACGAAGGTGCAGGAAGTGGCTGAGAGGAGATCGCTCAGAAGCGGCTGGAAACCAAGATTCATTTTGCTAACATTCATGACGGCAGATTGAATGCAGATTTACTCCTAGAGTAGCAGTTCTTATAATTGAAAACAACATTCGGCCATGACTCGTGTTAATTCCCATTGCTTTTAATGAGTATGGCCTTAATCCAAATCCCCGGGCCTCACGTTCTAAATTATTGAGTTTATCACAGCACGGTCTTATTATTCACGGGTGCTCGAGAGTAAATTCACTGGGTAAGTGTGGCAAGAGTGCGGTCCGAATGGTGAAATACGTAACATTTTATTGGAAGCAGCCCTGAAGAAAGTGTGGGCGAGCTATACATCTGTTTCATGCAAACAAGAAGAGTGGCACCTTAAAGACGAACTCACATAAAGCGCAATTCTATGCATACACGACTAAGAGTGTTCCCACCCATCCACCCCCGCCTCCCAGGGGTTATTCCAGGAACAAATGTGTTATCCTTTCAGGAGCCACTAAACCCTTCGTTGCTTTTGCACCAACAGAATGACTGCTATTTCACTAAAAAAAATCAATAAAACATCTTCATAAACAAGAAATAATTTAGGGCTCCAGTCCATTTGAGATACATAATTTGAGATCAGCGGGAGAGGCCCTTCTCCGGGAACCCTCTGTGAAGGATATTAGGAGGGTATGTACTCGAAGGAGGGCTTTCTCTGTGGTGGCGCCCAATCTATGGAATGTGCTCCCCAGAGAGGTCCGCTTGGCGCCGTAAACGCCATTTTAATTGTTAATATTATTTATTTATTTTATTTTTATGGCCAGGATATCTCCAATTATATTATATTGTTTTATATTATTATTTATTGTTGTAAGCCGCCCCGAGGCTTCGGCGAATGGGGCGGCATAGAAGCTTTCTAAATAAATAATTTCTACAGCTTCGGAATACTGGGAACTAGAGGCGACCCGTCTAAAAACCGAGTTCTCCTAAATGATTTGGGGAGACCATCCTACTTTTCGAACCACGATTTCGGACATGCGAATCCCTTGGGCGCTGCCGAGGTCGGATCCAGCTTCACAGCAGAGCGCCCCGGGCTGGGAGCACGAGAGAGGGCGGGCCAGCCCTTCGGAAGCCGGTCGCGCTTCTCGTTTGCGAGGCCGGGTCTCCTAGCTCCCCCGGCCGCCTGTCAGTTCCATAAGTGCGGCTGGCCGCAATGGCCTCATTAAGGCGGGCGGGGGAGAAGAAAGGCGGCGACCAAAGTTCAGGGTACGCTGGTGCCAGCGGCGCCTGGCCTGGCCTGCCTGACCCGCGATCTTGGGCGGCGTTTCTCTGCAGCGAGGTACGCGGACGCGCGCGCGGGCCACTGCCGCAGCCATCCGCCGAGTGCGTGCCGAAGACGCGGGGTCTCGCCCGGGGTGGCTGCGCCGGCCCCGTCCCCGCCTGGCGATCCAGACGGAGCTTTGTGTTTTTATTTGTCGCAAGTAGCGCAGCGAGGCGCGAGGGAAGAAACGCCGGTTGGAGTCGCGTCTTTGCATAAGAGGTTCGAGTGACCCAGAGTCGTCCTAAAAATATCGTTCGTTTCGTAATCTC